GTAATAGCTATTGAAATTTTTCTTTCAGTATCTTTGTGGAACTTGTAACGAATGCTGCTCCTAATTCTTAACACTTGCTGTAAAATTATTAGTTTTTGCATTTTAACAAAGTGAATTAATATTCCTAATTCTTATAAAATTATTAATAAACGTGAAATATTCTTGTAACGGTAATCTTATGAGAAATACTCGTATAATTCTGAAATTTTTGCTTACATGTTATAACAATTGTAACGTTTACGTTTTGCTGTTTCGCAGTGTTTTCTCTGTGAATTCTATGTTTCGAATTTATTTCAAGCTAAAGTAACGTCTGTGTACTGCAGTTCAACCTAATTTACTTAAATTCGAATTACGATACAGTATATTTACAATTCTACCTGAATTTTCGAAATTATAAACATCACCAGTAAACTTCCATTGCATGTAAACAATATTCTCCACTAATCGGTAATTATAAAGTAATTATATAGCAATTATAAAGTAATTACCGAAAAATATACACTTACATTCTCATGTTGGATCATTTACCTCTCTTCTTCTCGTCTGTTCACACATTCTCTCTAACTCTCCCAATTTCGTTATCCAATCGTTCCTATTTACTCTCATTTTCAAATTTCACACGTTATTCGCTATTATCCTCCCTTAACAAACCAACAAATCCCAGCACAATTAAAACAAAAATAATACACTACCAGCTTTTAAAACAAATATAAATCATTTTACCAATTACTGGTACTTGCTAGACATTTAATATCAGACTTTAAATATTCTCCTTTCGGTTCTTTTAAATACAATCAAATAATTTCTTCAATTATCGATACTGACTTGGAATACTCCGCTTCGAATAAAATATTTCGAAATTATTTTGAAGGTTTAGGGAAATAAACATTTGAATTTTAGTCATCGTTGTTCTTCAGACTTGTCGAATAGGATATTGAAATGACTTTGAGAGGTTGCTTTTTCGTTACAGCATAATATGTAACTATTCTTCCAACAATTGAAATTAATTTGAAATTTTTCATATATTCTCTCTGATATTGAATTTTGTTTAGCACCATGCCCACCCTTAATTAAACCGTCTCAGTAGTTTACCGTAATTAATAATCTATTTTTGGAATTTATGCGAGAATTTTTGAATTTTAGTAAATACTAGAGTCAGTGCATCGCGTATTGAAATAATAGCTTCATCCCTAGTTCGTTTATTATTGAATATTTTTACGCGTTTAACTTATGCTTCTCCCCAATTCTCGTCGCGTATTTTATTCAAATTTTCTTATATTCTAGAATCGAAAAAGATACGAATTCGCGTTTTTTCTTTTGATTCTTTCAATTTTTCACTCGCGTTCTACGAAAGTTTAGTTCAATAATAATATTGAAAATAATATAAATTCGCGGTTTCTCCCTTTCTGAATAAATTTGAAATAAATCGCGTTTCCAAGTACTTTTCGCGTCGTCCATTCCACAGTGACTCACATTTTGTGAGTTTGTGAGTCTTGCAAAATCGTTCGGAACTGGGAGGAAGGAAGGAAGGAAGAAGAAAATGCAGTCAAATCCACGTTGCAGAGCTCAGCTGTTTAATCAGCGAACAGTGAGTTACAAAAATGGGTTCTTTTCTGGTGATTTGGTTTAGTAGTTAGTTGTGTTGTGTATTGCTAGCTCAAATATGACCTGGCTGCCCCAAATTAAACCGTCTCAGTAGTGTTTCGCAATTAAAAATCGGTTTTCGGAATATATACGAGAATTTTTGAATTTTAGTAAATACTAGAGTCGTTGCATTGAGTATTATAATAGCTTCATCCCTAGTTCGCTTTATATTGAATATTTTTACGCGTTTAATCGATACCCTCCTTCAAATTTACTTGCGTTAGAGATTCGGGAAAGATAGCAATTCGCGGTTTATTCTTTTGCTTTATATACATCGCGTTTATTTCATATCTCTTTCCTTCTTTTTACGTTTATTCTATTTAAAGTTAACTTGATTCTAAAAATCGAGAATAATATAATATCACGGTTTCCCCTTTTAAATAAATCGCGTTTCGAAGTACTTTTCGCGTCGTCCATTTCACAGTGAGTCACACTTTGCGAGTCTGCGGGCTTGGAAAATGAACTGGAACTGGAATGATTTGCGGAAGGATGACGATCTGAGAGGATGGAAGGAGGCAATGCAGCCAAATTTACGTTGCAGAGCCCAGCTGCCTAATCTGCGAATTGTGAGTGAATTTTTTTGGTAATTGGTTACATATGTGTGTGCATGTGCATGTTTGAAGCTGAGTTACCAAGGATGGGTAGATGTGAGTTCACAACCGAACTCCACTGCACTAAAGGTGCAAACGCCCACCCATTGTTAGAGTCACCGAAATAGTATACCGCGTTAATTCAATTTAGAGTCAACTTTTCTAATGAATTTTTATTTTGATCGATTATTTTCGATCGATTCGAGAATTTACTTCGGCGCGTCGCGTTTGATAATATAGCCTCATCCTTTTTTCGCGTTTTGCTTCTCTTTTTTTACATTTTTGCTAAATGTCCCTACTAAAGTGGAGTACATAATAAAGTGGAGGATGATAAATATTCGCGGTTTCGGGTACTAAACGAAATTCAACGAATTAAACTACACTGAAAAGAAATCGCGATCCGTACACAATTTCGCGCGACACTTTTACAGCTTCCTAAGTCTGGTGGGTCTTGGACAGTGGCTTTGGGGCTTTGGGTCATTCAAATCTGGCTTTGGGTCTCTCAATTTGGCATTGGACCACTGGTGGAACCAAATTCAAGGCTTGGAGGACTCTGGAACTAAAATCCGATGCTTGAAGGAAGCAAATGGTTGACTGAGGGAATTTCAAAGGCTCGATGGATCTGAGAGGATGACCAGATGCAACCAGATCTATTTTACAATGTCCAGGTGTGTGGTAATTGGTGAGTCGCGCCTTTTCTTTTTTTTTTTTTATTAATTAGATATTTTGTAGAGAAATATTTCAAGTTCACAAATAAATTCCATTGCCGCGAGTTGAGTAAGAAATAGAATACCATTGAATTAATTATTAGAGTATGAACACTTTTACTGAGAATTGAAATACGAGCTCCGCTAATTCGAGTTTTACCATTTTCAGGGAGAATACACTATTTATTTGTTGCAGATTATCGAATTTCTCCATTTTCAGTAATTACAGAATTTGATATTCAGAGAAATTCAACGAAGAAATATTAAATTGAATATAAACAAATATTAAATTAAGTATAGCACGCCTTAGGTAATCCTTATTATTTCAGAAAATTGTACTAACAAAGGAACATCTCGAATTGATAATCGTTGATTTTGATGGAAGTCTGGTATATAGGAGTTCTCAAAAAAATTTGTCAGGTATTTCTTTATATCGACGATCGTTCACAACGAAGGGTTGAAAATGTCTCTCGAATTTGAAATTAATAAACATGTTCGCTTTGATATCACGAAAATGATTAGAGATTGAGAAATTATATACATTGACGAATTCTGCAGTTTGGTATGGTAAATTGGCCTTGCAAATAAATTTCCAAAAAAATTCCATTCGTTTGATTAATATATTGAAAATTATTCTTTTCAGATATTTCCCTTCCTCCTGCTGATTTTCGTGTAAATTCGTGTGTGAAAATTGATAGAAAGTTGTACAGAGTGCCATAAGCGTGTGATGTAAAATAAGCGACTGTAAAGTGTGCGAATGTGAACGAAGCGAATTTTAACTTCAAGTAGTCCATAAGATAAAATAAGTTAGGAAATATTTGAATCGCCGTGGGATGCGTGCGTTTTTATTTTAGCTAGTATGTAAAATAAAATAAGCTAATTCTAAGATAGAAAATTTGTATCGAATACAATGTGCGCGCTCTCTTGCAGAGATACGCGATTCTCATTTCGTAGCATAATTGATAATAATTATCGTCGAACTTTTCGACAAAGTGTCTGTTTTACAAGTTCAAAATGAGAAACGGGTGCCTCTGAAGATAGAGAGTTGCCAGTAGGGAATGTGATTTTGTCGGGTCCCTTGCGTAGTCACCTCCTCGCGGTGGGACCTGGTAATTGGTATCTTTTTCCAAAGAAAATTCTCAATTTTGGAAAGAGACAGCAAGCTGAGAACTACGCTTACCCTAAGCTCACTCTGATTTTCACGAATTTAGAGTGGAACTCGGGTACTAGTTATATTTGTACACAGTTGAGAGATGTTCTGAGATGCGAATGTTTCGACTTTAAGTAGTTCGTAAGGAAGAATAAGCTAGAAAATAAATTAGTTAAAAAATTAGTTCGTAAGATGAAATGGAATCCTTTCCTGTTCGTAAGGTAGAATAAGCTAGAAAATAAATTAGTTAAAAAATTAGTTCGTAAGATGAAATGGAATCCTTTCCTTAATATATGTGTATTAAGTCATTCCATAAGTTTGTGTCGAATTTTATTTTAATTTAGATCAATATTTGCAACTGTTTCGTTCGCATTCATTTCATACGATTTCAATACTTCCCGATACGCTTTATTTGCGGTCTCGCGAGTGTGAAAGAAGATGTATAGGGTTTTAGTCGTTAGCGCGTTTAAAGGCAACTGACTTCCCCGAAAACGGATTCGGCTTAACCGAATTGTCGCCCCGGTCCACTCCCCGCGGTACCGATACCACCAGGCCGGGCAGTATGGGGGAAGGACGTCCGCGGGGAAGGAGACGGAGTGTTTACGAGCTCGCGACCGCGGTGGATCGCACGAACAGCAACAAAACTTTAAAATTTGATAAAGAAAGGAAACGTAAGAGAATTCTTGTTCCATAAATTTTTTCTATTTTTTTTTTGTGGTAAGACTATTATGTCGTCGTTATAAAATTTCTTTGGATTTTTATTAAAATATTTTTCTTTTTTGACACGAATTTATGGGATAACCTAATACACAGTTGAGAGACGTTCTGAGATGTTAATTCTAAGATAGAAAATTGAACACTATTTGCGCGTTCTCTTGCAGAGATACGCGTTTCTCATTCGTAGCTAATTAATAAAATGACTTCTGCTTTTTCTACTTGAAGAAATATATGGAAAAATATTTCGATTACTAAAAAATTAGTAGAGTGGACGACTGAACGATTACAAGCTATCATAGATGCAAGTGGTTATACAGTAAAATATTGAAGTTAGAAGTGTTACATTATATCTATAAATTGACGAAGTTAAGAATTGTTGGAAACTGTGCAAAGCGAAAGATTACGATCTATAATTTCAGGCGCAATTTTCTCGAAATCAGGAATTTTCATCGAATAAATAAATTGATAGATTAATAGCTTTAGTTTTTTGAAAATAGTTTCCCTAAAGTTTTATTAGATTTAGATTATTTAAACTTTTATGAGATTAGATTTGCTTGATTTTCGGTTTTAGATTTTTTGGAAGGCCCTTACCATTTTCGTGTCGCTACCAACGTTACCGATTCAGCGTAGAATAAGGTTACAACATTAGCAGTAGTTGGAATTGGAATTAAACGTAACTATGAAATTACAAATAAAAAAAGTAACGTAATTGTTTATTAGTAGATGATTCATCACATGTGTCTGTTCTATTGCTGTCAAAAGATCGTGAACAATTCTACCCAAGCAATCTAATATACGTATGCATCTTTATATGCAAATTTCATAAAAGAAAATTTTTACATCCGTCGATTTTACCAACTTTGATGGTTGAATTGCATGCAATTTCTAAACTCACTCCTTTATATCGTAGAGAGCATAATAAAATTTTTAATTTTTTTTACATGATCGATATTTCAAAACGTTGGACGTAAAAATACACCGATTGATGTAAAAAAAAAAAAAAACTGAAAAGGCTAAAGAAAAATAAATGAAATTTATATTAAAAGTACACTGAAACGTAGTAATGTATTATAGTATGTTATTCCCATAACATTCGAGTTAATGCCATTTGGTTGATAAACCAGAAATTACTCTATCGATAAATGAAACACAATTATAATGAAAATAAATATTCGTTTTGCTGCACATCATTTAATGCAATGAAGTTTTTAACATTTCTAAACAAAATAGAAGATATTTAAACTTATTACACTAGGTACATAATATGGTGTAAAATATAACTTATTAGAGTATGTACATTAATTTTAGCGAACGAAATAAAATATATGTATAAACTGCTTTTCACGGAACCATGAATCTGTGTTACAGTGAACAATGATTATTCCAAACGCTTATTGCAATAGCATTGCATTATTATACAATTTATATTTAATTTCTCGTTTTGGTACGAATTATCAGTAAGAATCCTCTGAAAATTGTTAATTTGATAAAAAAGTTATTTTTTATGAAGACGTCGCACTACTTTATAGAACTATCGTCATTACTATGCTGCGATTATCATATTATAATACAATGAAGATTGCTAGTAGCCAAATGTACACTTTATTTCTTTGTAATCCTGAGACTTGTATAAATAATTCAAAACCACTTATCTTACAGTAGTATAAAAACATATTATCCTTTTATATAAAAGCAAACGAGCTGCTTATAAACAAAATTAAACATCTCCGTCGATAATATGATAAAATCGGAATGCAATAATTTTTTCTCCTTCTTGCTGAAATGTTGAAATCATTTCTTTGGATTTATTCAAGGATCAAAGTGATACGGTATTTTATTCTGTTGCTCCAATAATGTGCTGAGAGCTTTTTCTATATTTTCCGGTAAATGATCCAACAACATCCGTGGTACCACCATTAATTCTGTAAATTCTTCCGGTTGTGCCCATCGCATTTCATATTTTTTCTCCTTCACGTTTTGCTTTTTGTTGCTAAATAAAATAATACAATTAATTTGTAATTTATTATTTTCGAAATGATTAAGTTTTTGAAAGGGGAAGATTTTGAGGTTAGGTTAGGTTGGGTGTTGCGAATTGCAAGAATATAAACAGGTAAAATAAAAGTGAACATGAGACAGTCATTGAATTAAAAGTAATATGAGAATGATTAAAAAAGGCGAGGTAACAAACCTTTTTTCTTCTGACCGTTCAGGTTTGCATTTGACTATGTGAAGAATTTTACCTCCTACGTATAATTTTACTCTGGAGAACCTCCTTTTCGTAATATCTTGTTCGTATATTTTATTTTCCTACAATACGAGTAGTATTACGTTGAAATTTTAATTTAAGAACAATTTCAATTACATTGGTTTCTACATACCTCTATTCTATTGATATCTCGTTCATTGAGTAAAGGGGATTCCCCCGTTGCGGTAGTTATTACATTGCAGTTAGTCCACGTTTTGCTAAGGTCTCTTTCCGGAATACCAAATAAAATGTAACCTAATCCGTTTAGCACCACTCTATACTGGAAAAATTACATTTAACATATTATTATACAAGAAAATAGAATATTTAATTAAATTTGATTAATTTAATCAAATGACATTTAACAAAATCAAAATAACATTTAACATACTGTTAAACAGGGTGGTAAAATATTATTATACAAGAAAATAAAATATTAAAAGAAAAATTGTACCTTGGGTAATCGACAAGCACGAAGCGTCAAAAGTAAGGATGTTCTTAGGTTTTCTGTGCTGTCAACACTTAACCTCATTACCAAATCATCTCCAACTCCTATCGTTAGTACAAATTCCTCCGTTACTTTAGCCGCTTCTCTAGAGAGTAAACCCCCTAAAATAAAATGTTTCTTTTATAATTGAAAATCTTCCAAAAAATATAATAATAAATGACGACAAGTTTAAAATAATTGTGTAATTAAAAAATTGATAACTTTTCGAGAATATGTACCTGGTGTAGCGAATGCATAGACTTTTAAATTTGGATATCGTGGGCGTAATAGGAGTGCTAGGAGAATACCTATGCCAGCACCTAGACTGTGACCTGTACATATTTTTTTTGCATTAAAGTTATCGAAGAAAAATTGCGTTAATTAAAATTATTTACGAATACAATGAACGATATAATATAAACTCTTATATGAGGGGGTTAAAGTCATAGTAGTGTAAGTCACATTTTCGAAAATTTGGACTTAAAAAGACAAGTGAAGTAAGTTATGATTGGGAAAGGCTTTCTGAAAACATTGAATACGATACAGTACCAAATCTCATGCTGTGGAATTTATCTGATCATTTTTAATAACATTCTCTGTTTCTCAGAATAAAGAAATTGTGACTTACATCACTATGACTTTATTCTCCTCATATATAGGGTGAACCACCTTAACATGATCACCTTAGATTATTTTGTTGTTAATAGATCGATGGAAATTTTTTTTTTGTCGCATAATATGGTTCAAAGAGTCCTTTAAAATGATTATAGACATTTTTTTTCCCGAAATTTTCGAGATTGTAATATTTTACATGCATATGATAGTGTATCTTAAAGTGCATCGCTATGTCACACTTTTGCTTACCTGTGATCACTAAATTGTGCTGAGTGTACGTACTGAATGCCCGTTCTAAAATTTGATTATCGTCCAATTGCTTTAAAATCGACTTAGCTGCTGTTATCATACCCCTGTGTGCCTGTACATACAACATTTTATTATTATAAATAATTTTCTAAAAAAGGAACGCGATTTAAAATTTACAAAAGAAATTTTTCATTAATTGTGTTTCATATTTGATTTAAAAATTGAAAAATTATCCCTGTGTGCCTATATATATAACATTTTATTATTATAAACAATTCTCTTAAAAAGGAATATTCGAAATTGCACTGAACGAAAATAGTAAAATTGCACAAATTTCAGTGATATTTAAAACAGAAATTTTTCATTAATTGTGCTTCATATTTGATTTGAAAATTTACCTGAGAACCCGGCGGAAGATCGTCGCATGGAAAGACTTCAGAATCTGCCGCAATATCAGTGAGTAAATCACGTAACGATAGAGAACCTCGTATAACGATGACAATATTATTCGTTTCTTGATCGTTAATCACACAAAATGGTATCTAGAAGTATTTGCTCTATGTTTATAAGAATGTCAGTTACGTAGAATAAATAAATCATAACTTTTTATGTATCAACCTCGCATAAGTGATTTTTAAACGACGCAAACAAAATGTTATCCGTGGATATGTCTGATAAATATTTCACACCAGCTAAGTAACAGTAGCAACAATTGTCACCGCTAATTGAAATACGCTTCCTTCTGTAATTGAAACAAATTAATACAAAATTCAATACAAAAATAAGTATCAATGCGAAATTTTATTTTTTACTTTTTCTTAAAACAGTGCAAACTGTT